TCATTTTGTCATTCCCAGTTCATAATAATCCAAAAGGCAAAGATAATCATGGCAGTTTGTTCATGATTTAGGTTGGCTAAACAAGTTTGCTCCTGTGTTTTGTCGGGCTTCACTTTTTGCCGCGATTCACTCTCATGCACTCTCCTTTTCTTTCTGAGTGGATCAGATGACGGAGACACTTCAATAATCACACACACGTTATCATAATCACCTCAAGAAATTTGTTATCTCAAATATAACGTTAGACGCGATTGCGAGCTCTGGAAGAAAGCAAAACCGCTCGCACTTGCACAAGCTCGGGCTTGTAAAACAACAACAGGACACGGCAGATTTTTTCTTCTTGGCTTTGTGTCTGTTCATCAAGACGACGACAAGGTTTGTTTAAGCCTGGGTCATCCATGGCTCGTTGTTATATGCATATAATATTTCCATGTAATGTCTCGGCTTTGTATTTTAAAAACATGGCGATTACTTTGTTTTTATTCTGTCTAGCTCCACGAGTTTGTGACGTATTTCTGTAACCAGTCAGCGTTCAGCTGCTCGTGTAGCTCCACCTTTTGGCACCCTTTCTCTTGTTTGGTACCATTTTGAGAGGGTGCCGAAAAAGGGGTACGGTTTGGTTCTGAACGCTTTTTGATAGTGGAAACCAAACCATACCATACCACTCAGTGGAAACGGGCCATAAGGTCCACCCAGTTAGCCCAATGATGTGTCTACTGTTGGATGAAGGTTCATGTTGGGCCTTTCCAGTGCACAATATTGTTTCAGTTTAATTTTAACTCGAACATGACTCCAGTTTGAATATGAGGTGGTTTAGAATATTAGTATATTTATCTTTCGCTTTATCTGACTCAGATCATAAAACATTAGGAAAATTACATTAATATATAATTTGGATAAATGTTTGAACCTTTTTTCTTCGCTTGTACCCATTACATTTGTTCATTCGGGTGCTCATGTAGCTCAGAGGAATCGCCTCTGTCGATGTCGTCTCTCACAGTCACACTCTACTCAGTCTTGATTATTAAACAGAGGAAATCGATTAATACTTTTAGATGGTCGCATTATGCTTGTTTAAAAAAAGTGTTTTTGATTATTGCCCCTTAGATGTACACCCTTGAATAAAGTCAATATCATTTCTAATCAGAGGTCAAGGCCATTATTATAAATGTAACAGACTACTGTACTCTAATGATTTTGGTTTAGCCAAGCTCATGGTTTCCCATGTACACTTAAATTAGAATAACATTACTTTCAAACAAGGGTCAGGCACCCTATCTATATTAGTCGTTGAAAACCTTGTTGCCTTAAACAGAAATGACTCCTTTTCCACCTAAGTACACTTGAATAAATGTCAAGAGTCAGTCGGATCCCTAAAATACAGTTAGTGTGCCCAATGCTCCATCTCAACTGGACTTTAGTCCATCTACTGACCTGACGCAGGAAGTGCGAGAAAACAAGTATATAGCGTAATCTACTAGAATGAATAATTAGTAAGCAGAATGCGTTCAAACATAACAATTTATTAGTCCGGTAAATGTGTATTATGCCAATTCTTCAGTCAATTCATAAACAATCAATACAAGACATTCAATTCTCAAAGATAGACGTAAGATCAAAAGATGCATACCTGACTTCAAAATTGACATAGTATAGAGCAGGGATCACCAAACTTGTTCCTGAAGGTCCAGTGTCCTGTAGATTTTCGCTCCAACCCCAATCAAACACACCTGGACAAGCTAATCAAGATTTACAAGGTTTACTTGAAACACCCAGGCAGGTGTGTTGAGGCAAGTTTGAACTAAACCCTGCAGGGCACCGGACCTCCAGGAACAAGATTGGTGACCCCTAGTATAGAGCATGAGAGCTCCACACTAATGGCTGTTCTGGTTACAGAATCGTGCCGAGCTTTTTGACAGTTTTCCCTTAAATAGTCAGACCAAGAATGTCCTTCAAGGAGGGGGGTGTGTAGAACAACAACAAAAGGCATTTGCATTGAGTGGCATGTTAGATCTAAAGAGTTACTGCCTATAGGGAGCAAATGGTCATTTGAATAGAAGCCCCCTAGGTTAAGGCACACCCTTAGTAGTGGTTCAAAAGAAACCTGTAATGTAATGTGTATTTATATAGCACATTTATTGTGTATTGCTATACACCCAAAGCACTTCACAATCATGGGGTGGTGGGGTGGGGGGAGGGGGTTTCCACACCACCACCAGTGTGCAGCATCCACTTGGCTCACCACACACCAGCTATTGGTGGAGTGGAGAGAAAGTGATAAAGCCAATTTGGTGGAAGGGGATGATTGGGAGGCCATGATCGTAAGGGCCGATAGAGAGACTTTGGCCAGGACACCGGGGTTACACCCCTGCTCTTTCACGAGAAGTGCCATGGGATTTTTAATGACCACAGAGAGTCAGGACTTTGGTTTAACATCTCATCCGAAAGACGGCGCCCACTGACAGTGTAGTGTCCCCTTCACTTTTACTGGGGCATTAGGACTCACGCAGACCACAGGTTGAGCGCCCCCTGCTGGCCTCACTAACACCACTTCCAACAGCAACCTAGTGTTCCCTGGTGGTCTCCCATCCAGGTACTGACCAGGCTCAGCCCTGCTTAGCTTCAGTGAGTAACCGGTCTTGGGCTGCAGGGTGATATGGCTGTGGCATATAAAGTTAAATTTCTATTATATTGATTGTTTATTTCTGAGGGAGTGAGACCATTGTACCAGACATTTCTAAAGGTATCAAACATGATTGATAAAGTTCCTTGGATTAATAGAGAACATTCATACTTTGAAAGCATTCTGTTTGAGATGAAGAGGAGGGTGAGTGAACAGGGTTGCGGAAGATGCTTCAAATGTAAATGAAGGAAAGGAGAGGAGTGAACTTTCCCACATTCCACCCTGGTGAGGTGTGGAGTCAGCCCATGCTTGTATTGTCAAAGACATCAAAGTATTTGTGGTATCTCAAATCTTACAGGAAAATGAAGTCACATGCATTGCTCAGGTGTGGGTTTTCCACAGACTTCAACAGAGTGTAAAAATCTTGACGTTCTGTGGGTTTCGTCTATCAAATGTGATCTTTATTTTGTATTTTCTATTGGATTCAGGTAAGGTGATTGGCTGGGCCATTCCACAGCTTGATTTTCTTTCTCTGAAAGCATTTGAGAGTCTCCTTGGCTGTTTTCTTGCTGAAATGTCCACCCTACTATTCATTTACACTGTGGAAGGGGAGAGGGTTGCTGAAGAACTACTGGAGATTTCATCTGCTGTCTGGGCTTTCACTGCCTCTCTGTGTTTAATACTTTTTCCATTTCTTGCATAACTTACTTTGTAAACTAATTACTTTTATTTTCATTGTATATATAGATTGCTTTGCTTTTTACCAACATCTGGTGAAAATTTCAAGTCAACAGCACTTTTAGAAATATATTTTCTGAGAAAAATGTTGACATTTTCAATACTTATTTCTTCTACTGTATGCTACAATTCATCAAACGTGGATAGCAAATGGTTTTTGCATTCGCATTGTGTGCCGAGCGAAGGGTTTTTTAATTCCGCGGTGTCCAGGCCTTAAAGTCTCTTAGGAATCAGTTTCACGCTGTGTGGCTCTAGAAAGGTGAGTCCCTGCTCTGATGGGGGCCATGTGTAATTTATTTCATTTTCCCAGATGCCATTTACCCTCCCATCCGCATCCACAGACATGGTGTGTTTACTCAAACATTAGAGGAGCGGATTTAAACAAGACCTGTAATAGAAACACTGTGATCGAGGAAGAGTGTTATGTCTGCCAGTTTTGTTAGCATAAAACACAGATTTTTTTTGCTTTCATTTTTTTTATTAAACAGCTGAACTGTCAAACAAAAATGTAAAAAAAGCAAGTACACAAGTTGAATAATATTAGTAATGATGGACCCTTTTCACATTTCTGGGTTTCTCAGTACCGGAAGTCGTCATAGTTGGGTAAACTATGAGCGCAGTGAATAGGAGAGTACAACAAATACTTTTTTTTTTACAATCCTATTTGCTGAAATAATAAAGGAATAACTCAAAGATGGTGTAATCAAGACTTTCAGAACAAGGAAAGAAATTGTGTTATGCTGATAACGCCAGCCAGAAGAGAGAATTACGTCACAAATCCTGCCCCCATATACACTGCATTAGAAACACCTTGCATAAGCGGTAATTAGTTTTTTGTAATTTGATATATATAATATATACATAAATACATTTATAAATGTACATAAGTTTTTTTGAAAATCTAAATTTTAAAAACTTTCAAGGATTTATGATGCCGATGACCATTAAATGCAGTATAACAGCATACCTGCCAACACTCCCGTTTTTCTTGGGTATTTTATACCCATCTCTAGTCATCCTCCCACTTTGTTATTTCTAATTAAACACTCATATAATTTCACCCCCCATCCCGGGCCTCAGCTTTTTGGTAAAGTCTATAACAGCCATGGGTCACGAACTTGAATATAATATCAGAACAGCTGCCCAAAACCTGCTGCATAGTAGTTACTAACACCACAGTACAGTTAGTAACCTGGTTCTCAATAGTGTTATTTAGGGCCTACTCACACTATGCCATCCGTACTGTGCTCAGGCCCGTTTCCCGGATCGTTTGAGAAGTGTGAGTGCGCTTAATCGGGCTCAAGCACAGTTCACTTGGCCGGCCCTGGCCCGGTTGGAAGAGGTGGGCCTGAGCGCGGTTCACTTGGGAACTGAAAGCGAGACGTGACTTTTAAGAGACTGTTTCATATGGATTTATTAACCATTCTTACTGTTCAGTGAACGCAAACTGCCGTAGTTTATTAAAGACGCAAACTCCTCACTGCATGACAGCTGCACACCTTCAGCAGACCTCCTCATTCCTGCAGCACGAGGGCTTTACGATTGTTTATGAGTGCCAAAAGTGGCGGATCTGGTCGTCGAAATATCTGACTGCGTGTAACCGCATCCCTAAGGACTGTTTGGCGAAATATTTGACGGCATGTCACTGAATATCAAACGACTGAAATTATATAACTAGAGAAATCTCTGTGCTGAGCGATAGGGCTCACTGAAACACAGCATCTATGACGTAAGCGTGCCCAGGCCCGATTGTAGTGTGAGTACGGGCTGTCGGGGGAGACGGGAGGAGGGACAAGCATGCTTTGGCCCGGTTCGAGGCAACTGTACATAGTGAGTACGGCCTTAGAAACCTCACCCCTGAACAGACACCTCAACCCCTCATCCCCCCACCAGATTTCACAGACAAATGTTGGCAGGTATGCATTCCAGTCTTGTGAAAAGGGTCCATAGTAGTAATAATAATAAAAAATAATCCACATACCAACCAAGAGTAAGTTCATTCACAAATTTTTTTGTTTGTTTCCAAAATACACATTTCTCGTTTTCCTTTCATTCTCATTTATGTAATGTCAACACTATGTCTTAAAACACAAGCGCAAACACATACTTCAGGCATGTTGGACTATTCCTCAATATTCGGTTATAAACATTAACCTAACTAGTTCTCCCAGTAGTAAACTCATTGCAGTTTATTTCCACTCTTCAGTTCTCAAATATCTGATGCACTTCGACAACAACGAGAAGTCAGACACAAAAAAATGGGTTGTGGGAACAACAGTTTGGTCTAAGGTGGGAAAGGATTTTTGCACAACAGTCACTCTTATATTGCATGGACAGAAAACATACTTTAACTTATCATGGTCAACTGTGGGGAGAAGATAAAGGAGAGTCAATCATAAACACTAAAGTTTGCTTTTGAACACCACAACTTATAATTGGCTGATTTAGGTCCTGAAAATAAAGCAGCACCTAAGTGCTGTAATGTTGTAGCAAATACTTCATAAAGCGCCTTTCTTACTTTTCTTAGTTGTAGTCCAAATATCAACTAATTTGTAAAGCAAGTAGTAAAAAATGTTGTGTTTTCAGAAATAAGTCAAGATTATGTGTGATTTTCTTTAAAACAAGCAAAGTAATCTGTAAGTAAAGAAATCTTATTTAAGAACTTACTATTTGGACTAAAATTGAGTTAAACAAAGCAAAGCAATTTTTGTAGTGTTCTCCTTAACAGTTCACATCAGGTCATTTGAGGGCTCTGTAGTTTTAAATATTTTGAGCTGTGTCAAACAAAAGCCTCCATTTTGGCTCCTTGGTCATGTATCCATAATCTCCCGAGCTGGGGTGGGTTCATGCGGAAGGGTAGTAGCATTGGGAAGAGCTTGTCCGTGGTGTCCCACAGAGTTCTGCTGGACTTCCATGGGAATGCCACTTGCGTTTTCTCGATTTGGGAATTCCCTGGACTGTTTCCGGTACTCCAGAAAGGTGCACGCCTTGGTTGCGATGGCCACAACGTTCTTACCGACAAAAATAGTAGAAACCCGGCTGTCCTGGAAAAGCACCATGTTGACCCCACGAATGAGGATGGTGACGATATTGATGGTGACCAAACTGAGAAGAGGATAAAGCATCATCTTCTGTGGAGAAATATGGTCACCCTGTACGCTGATCTCGCTTAGGGATACGCAGGGAAGGATTAGAAGCAAAATGTAGCAGTAGAAGAACATCAGACCTTCAGCCCAAATGGGCAAACCCGTCCGCTGCGGCTCCCAAAGATTTGCCTGCATATCAAGCAAGTCCAGCAAGTCCAAAGCCACCCAAAAGAGTCGCCCCCTCATGTCCTCCTTCCTTCGAAAGGTACGAACGTACTCCATGCTATCCAGAGCCACTAGTACCAAGTAGAGACCAGGCACACAAATGGACAGCAACAAAGTCAAAGCTTTCCTTGCAACAGTTTCCAGACTCTTGCGATCAGCCTTACAGTTCTGGAAGACAAAGTAAAGCTTGATCTCTAATACAAAGATATAGAGGAACCAAAGGATCATGGCGTATCCTCTGCGAGCTGTCCGCACTTCTGCTCCGACCCAAACCGCCACATAACGGAGGACAATAAGGAAGCAAACATCCCCCACTAGGACTATGATACAGACGCCAATCTTGCGTGGACCTTGGTTTTGTTCCACTAGGTAGGCATCCATGAAAGCCATGCTAGTCATGATGACGAAGGTTGTAAGACACACATGCCGCTTGTCCGGTGGTGGCAACACCATGCTGAGGGCCACCACCGCATGCACTCACTCACGACAATGTTGTCCGCTTCGTTGCACTTTGGGTTTGAAGGTTTTTTAAATTCTGGATAGTTGAAACTGCTGCTTTTTCAGCTCAATTTGATGAACTTTGAAGGCATTTGCAGTCCCAGTAGTATGAAGAATGATAGAAGGTCTAATGCAGGGTTACAACTCTCCTAAAGAGCAAGGAAATATTGTTTCACAGATTTGGTGTTTGCTTGGTTTTACTTGGGTTTCAAGGGTTTTTTTAATTCCAGTTAGTTGAAACTGCTGTTTTTTCCCCTCAACTTGATAAACTTTAAAAAGTCAGTGCAGGATTACTTTGCTCTGGTATGACAACTCTCTTAAAGACCAAGGAAATGTTGTTTTGCTTGGCTGTACTTGGGTTTAAAAAGATTCTTATAATTCCAGAAGGTTTTTCAACCCAATTTGTTGAATCTATAGTAATAGAATGATAAAAACTCCAATTCAGGATTACTTTGCACTGGAATGCAACTCTCTTAAAGACCAAGGAAATGTTGTTTCACAGTTTTGGTACTTGGCTCTGTAGGATTTTTAATTTTTGAAGGCTTTCACATTCCCAGTATTAAACTCGACCCTGGAATAAAGTAATAAGAAACTGCTCTACTGAAAAGTCAATTGCTTTGTTTGACTCACTGCTTTGCCTTATTTTGCAAATATGAAGAGTGATAAAGTCAAATCCTGGATTTCTTTGTTCTGGAAATGCAACTCTTAAAGACCAAGGAAATGTTGTTTCACAGTTTTGTTGTTTGCTTGCTTTCACTTGGGTTTGAAGGATTTTATTAATTCCAGTTTGTTGAAACTGCTGTTTTTTTTTTCAAATCAATTTGATGAACTTTGAGGGCATTTGCATTCCCAATGGTACTAGAATGATAAAAAGTCCAATGCAGGATTACTTTGAACTGGAAATGCAACTCTCTTAAAGAACAAAGGTTGTTTCACAGTTTTGCTGTTTGCTTGGTTGTACTTGCGTTTAAAGGATTTTTTTCATTTCAGAAGTTTGAAATAGGTGACTTTTTAACTCAATTTCACGAACTTTGAAGGCATTTGCATTGGAACAAAGTGAAAAGAAATTGTTCCTCTAAAAAATCAATTGCTGTTGTTTGCCTCTCTGCTTGGCTTTGCTTCCAAATATTAAGATAGATGATATTAAGAAGTCCAATGCAGGATTGCTCTGCAATTGAAATGCAACCCTCTTAAAGACCAAGCAAATGTTGTTTCACAGTTATGTTGTTTCCTTTGTTGTACTTGGGTTTAAAGGATTCTCGAAGTGGCATTTCAAGCTTTGCTGGGCTTACGGAGCAACCACTTTTTCATTCTATTTCTGTGAACTTTGAAAGAAATTGCATTTCAGATATATCCTAAACGTGACTCAGGAACAAAGAGGAAAGTCCTTATTCAACAAAAAAGCCAATTCCTCTTGATTCACTTCACTTCGCAAGGCTTGAATAGATCTATAAATCTGAAGATGTATGGTTAAACGATCCAAAATTTTAAATAAACAAGAAAAAGAAACAAAAAAACATCCAATGCAGGATTACTTCCCAAAAGAACCTCAAAGCGTTGGCTTTATCACGCAAGCTCTGTGACCTCCGAGGATATTTGAATTTCTAATATTCTATACACATGACCTAGGAACAAAGTGAAATGAACTTATTTTACCAAAAGCCAATTGCTCTCGACTGTCAGTTTGATTCACACTGCTTTGCAAGGTTTGAATTGAATAAAAATCAGAAGGAGCAGCGTTAATTGATGCAAAGTTCGAAAAGGATGCAGGATTACTTTGCAATTGAAAACAACTCTTGAAGACTAAAGAAACCAGGTTTTAAGCTTTGAAGGGCTGGTTGGAAGAAATACTACTTCATCCTAGTTCTATGCAACTTGAAGGTGTTTGCATTTCGATTAATTCATAAACTTGACCCAGGAACAAAGAGAAAATAAATGATCCCAGCAAAAATCTATTGATCCCAGCTGACAGTTAGATTCACACTGCTTTGCAAGTCTTGTATTGAGTCTTGTAAAAAAGGAACTGTCCAAAATATGCAAAGAAGTTGGATTGCTTTGCAATGAAAATGCAACTCTTAGAGGAAGAAAAGTCCCGGATTCACAATCATAGCCTTGGCAGATGGTTCTTCTCCTACACACTAAATGGAAGAGAAATCTGCCCATTAATCAGTAGCTTGCATCGATCCTGTAAGACCGCACTCCTGCCTGATCTCAGAGAGACGCCATAACTTTCCTCTTTTTCACGGTCATGCTTTTGGAAGGTGATCCGAGGATACATGGGCTTTCCCGGAAGCTTCGCATGCATGCAATTTGCTCAATTGATAGTTAATTTCCTTCTTATAAGTAAATGGAGCACAAGAAAGAAATGTTCAGACTGTGTATACGGGCTACGATTACAGAATCTGAGTTGGTAGGTCAATTCTTCTGGTGCTCTCGAAATCTTCAGACTGTAGATTCGATGCAATTACCAGGCAACGTTTGTTTGTGTCTGCCGATGTGGAATTGCTCAACAGTGAAGCATTGACTCTTGAGGGGCTGCTGGGCTCTATCCATAGATCATCCAGACACTGGGTCAGTGGCTCCAGGGGCTCCACATCTGCCTATGGATTCCCCAGCGGGACTCTCTTTTACTGGGCTTCAGTTTCATCCTTGCCTGCTTTTCTGACACAACCTGGAACGAGAAAGGGAAAGAAGAGGAGCTGTCAGCACAAAGTGGATAATAAATCACAGATCACCGCTAGGAGCCAATTTCACATCCGGTCCTGCCATTGTGTCAGCATCATTTAATGACATGTGATAACAGCGTTGTGGAGATACAACCTTTACACACACGCCCACTTATTCATTTGAATACTGTATGAGGCATGCAATTATCCACGACAGTGTTCCAGCATTGATTTTTTTTTTTTTTTTTTTAGCTTCACAAGCCAGGAACTGTGAAAGGAAAGGCTTGAGGAATCCTCTCATCTCCATAGATGCAGTTTTTGATGTTAGAAATGATACAGATTTTATAATGTGCTCTTTTATTTCACATGTATTATAAGTGCATGCGGTGTCTTTGATCTGTTAGGAAAAAATCTAATCGCAGATGAATATTTCATTGCTCAAAACGGCTCTTTCATCACTCAGCAGACATAACTGGGTTCTCGGTTTTGTTTTGTTAAAGTAGCAGTTTTGGCTTTTAATGTTTCTCGTGAGACGCCTTAAAAAATGAATGCAATTAATTTAGTGTAGTTGACGTATAGTCCAGTGGTGGACAGTATTTATTTTAGGAAACTTGTACTTTCTCTTCACAACATTACAAAACTAAATATTTCATAAATGTAGCTGAGTAATACAAGTTCTTTCAGAGTGAGCCCTCCTGATTCAAGTGATCCATTCGAAGTGAGCCTCCAGTAAACAACTCATTGATTCAAATAGTCTGTTTAGAGTGAGTCTCCTTTAAACAGCCCTCTGATTCAAAAAATTGGTTAAGACTGAGTCTCCGTTTAACAACTCACTGATTTAAGTGATCTATTCAAAGAGTCTCCAGTAAACAACTCTCTGATTTAAGTGATCTATTCAAAGTGAGTCTCCAGTAAACAACTCACTGATTCAAATGATCTATTCAAAGAGAGTCTTCAGTAAACAACTCACTGATTCAAATAGTCTGTTTAGAGTGAGTCTCCCTTAAACAGCCCTCTGATTCCAAAAATTGGTTAAGACTGAGTCTCCGTTTAACAACTCACTGATTTAAGTGATCTATTCAAAGTGAGTCTCCAGTAAACAACTCACTGATTCAAATGATCTATTCAAAGAGAGTCTTCAGTAAACAACTCACTGATTCACATGATCTATTCAAAGTGAGTCTCCAGTTAACAACTCACTGATTCAAATGGTCTGTTCAAAGTGAGTCTCCAGTAAACACCTCACTGATTCAAATAATCCATTCAAACTGAATATCCAGTAAACAACTCACTGATTTAAATCATCCATTGATTAAAATGAGTAGTTCAGAGAGATTTTCCAGTAAAAAAACCTCACTGATTCAAATGATCCATTTAAAGCGAGTCTCTTTTAAACGGCCCTCTGAATCAAATAATCTGTTAAGAGTGAGTCTCCAATAAACAACTCATTGATTTAAATTCTCCACTCATAGTAAGTATCCTTTAAACAACCATTCAGATTCAAGTGATCCATTTAGAGTGAGTGTTCAGTAAACAATTCACTGATTCAAATGATTTGATCAGAGTAAATCTCTGGTTAACAACTCACTGATTAAAATTATCAGTTCAGAATGAGTCTCCAGTAAACCACTAATTGATTCAAATTAACCATTCATAGTGAGTGTCCTTTAAACAACCTTTCTGATTCAAGTGATCCATTCAGAGTGAGCCTCTGGTAAACAACTCACTGATTCAAATGGTTTGTTCAAAACGAGTTTCCAGGAAACAACTCACTGATTCAAATAATCAGTTTTGAGTGAGCCTCCGGTAAACAACCCGCTGATTCAAATGATCTGTTCAGAGTGAGTCTCCAGTAAACAACTCACTGATTCAAATGATCTGTTCAGAGTGAGCCTCCGGTAAACAACTCACTGATTCACATGATCTGTTCAGAGTGAGCCTCCGGTAAACAACTCACTGATTCAAACGATCTGTTCAGAGTGAGCCTCCGGTAAACAACTCACTGATTCAAATAATTTGTCAGAATGAGTCTCTAGTAAACAACTCACTGATTCAAATGATTTGTTCAGAGTAAATCTCCAGTAAACAACTCGCTAATTCAAATGATTTGTTTAGAGTGAGCTTCCAGGAAACAATTCGCTGATTCAAAAAATAAGTTCTGAGTGAGCCTCCGGTAAGCAACTCACCGATTCAAATAATTAGTTCTGACTGAGCCTCCATAAACAACTCACTGATTCAAATGATTTGTTCAGAGTGAGCCTCCGGTAAACAACTCAGATTGAAATGATTTGTTCACAGTAAATCTCCAGTAATCAACTTCCTAATTCAAATGATCCATTTAGAGTGAGTCTTCAGTAAATAACTCACTGATTCAAATGATCCATTCAGTAAATGATTCACTGATTTTACAAACTAATCTGAATGGGGTTGAGCGTGTGAATGTGGTTTACATCATGCCATTTTTATTGTCAGTACAGAGCTTTAACATGAATGAGGATAGCAGATCAGAATTGTTGTTATTGTAATAATTTAGCAGAAGTGTTTGCGTTTGCATTTCGATCTTAAGTTTGCATTAGTGTCTTGGCAAAACTAGAGCACTGTTATTGAGACTCTAGACTGGAGGAGATTACTCTGCTCTTTTTTTTTTTCAGAAAACCAAGAGACTTCAGCCAAAGGCTAGAGTACATTTGCCCACAATTTAATCTAATTTCTGTCAAGGAGAACCAATTGAGATGCCACATTTGTGATTTTTCTTTTCTACAGTATCATTAGGCTTGGAAATTGCCTTAGGTATAAGGTACAGAGGCAGCCGTATCAACATCTATCTAAGAAACACACTCCTGAAGTGGTTCACCAACTTAAAGAAAAAGTTCACCAAAAAAAAAAAAAAAAAACATGAAAAAATGGGCTGGGCCAGTTGATGTTTCTGTGTGGAGTTTGCATGTTCTCCTCATGTTGGTGTGAGGTTCCTCCAGGTGCTCCGGCTTCCCACACAGTCCAAAGACATGCGCTATAGGGGAATTGAATACACTAAAATGGCTGTAGTGTATGAGTTTGTATGGGTGTTTCCCAGTATTGGGTTGCAACTGGAAGGGCATCCGCTGTGTGAAATATATTCTGGATAAGTTGGTGGTTCATTCCACTGTGGCGACCCCTGATGATCAAAGGGACTAAGCCGAAGGAAAATGAATGATGCAGAGAGCAACTTTATGAGCAGTGTTGCCAGGGGACATTTAAGAGCGATGTTGCTTGGCTACATTGTTATTGCAAAAAGGCAACAGAATTGTCTCTGGATTAAGTTACCCTTATTATTTGCCTGTTTCTCAACTGGTTGCCCAGTGACTGCATGATTTCTCAAAGTTTCCCAGCAACATTGCTCTGAAAGTTGCCCTGTGTATGAGCAACTTCAATTTGCTCATCCTCAGGCCAGATGTAATTTAAAGTACTTTTTTTTTCAGTCACGGCTGGAAAGAGTACAATGGATCAGTTCTCACAATTATATCAAGCAAACATGTTAACACTGATAATTGTGAACATTCTTAATGGTTTTAAAATTATTTTTCTTAGATTTTAAAGGGAACTATTATGCCTATTTTTACAAAATGCAGTGAAGTTTCACAAGTGAAGTATCATAAACTAATTTCAAGAGGAGCACGTGATATGATTGAGCACTTCTGGCCGCTCATCTGTAATCAGTAATAATCCAATCAGATCCTAGTTTACTATAAATGGATAATTTTCTCCCTACTGCTCTTTCTTTGTTTTGGAAGAATTCCCCCTTACACCCCATCTCCTCCTTTACCTCCCTTTTCTAAAGGGGGAGCTCTCGAGACCTACCTGATATCGGATCTCCTGATATGCTTATTGACCGGGCGGGAGCCCTGGGCTCAAATATCTCCGAGGGTTCTCTCCCAGGACAGTGGGCTATGTTGCATGTTGTTTTTGAACCTAAATAATAATGTACTGCTGTGTGTAGTTCTTCTGTAGTTGGTAACATATCGGAGACGGTAAGGGTCTGTATGTGCTCATATATGTTGCATTTATCTATTTATTTTCTATAACTGCAGGCGTTACAGTAGGTTATTTTGCACTGTAATTGATCTGCAGTTATAATCAAATCCTGTTCATAGAAAAGTTAGTAATAAACATTTATACACAAGTATTTATGTGTATAAAGCGTCTGTTTTATATGATATGGAAGCGACCCGTACAGCTTTACTGTAGACATTTTCTCGAGCGAAAATGACGTCAACTGAAACTTTGTCATACACCACACCAACCAAAAGGGTACCATTTGTAGTGGAAACGCAAGCCTGATAAAGTTGACCCGTAACAAACAGTACTGTACCAGTCAGTGGAAACGAGCTATTAATCACACAACAGGAGTCTATCCTGTTGTGTGATTGAAGCGTCATTGTTTATAGCTGTGTACACTGTACAGCTGTGCGGTTTTTAGCGGTTATGAATTACATAGCTCAAAAAGTATAGTTTACAGTGCTTTAGCAATACAAAGTGTAGAAATTACTGCTTCTTGAAGTGCAGTTGGAATACAGAGAGTTGAACTGATCTTTAAATCTGAGTTTCTTTGCACATCCTGTCCTGTGGACATGTCAATGTCAGTTTTATCTATATAGCACTATTAAACGCAACCAAAGGTTGACCAATGTGCTGAACAATAAATCACATAGAACAAGTATAAAATTATAGCTAAAACAAACAATTCTCACTGATAGTTAATATAGCTAAAAACAAACAATTTTCAGTGATAAAATGCCAAATCAAAAAGGTAAGATTTTAACCCAGATTTAAAAACAGCCAGAGATGAAATAGACCTAATACAGAGGGGCAGAGCATTCCACAAAGTAGGACCAGCTACTGCGAAAGCCCGGTCACCCCTGCATTTCAGCCTCGACTTTGGAATGTTTAATAGTCTTTGGTTTGATGACCGACGAGAACGACCAGGCTGATGTTCAGTCAACAGGTCTGACAGGTAGAAAGGAACTAA